ACCTGGAAGCCTGAAGAGGACTCAGTCCCGCTCTGACAACCTGCGGCTTTTCTGAGGACTCAGGGGCCTCGGCACCACTGCTCTCCACAGAACACAGAGCCTCCTCTGCAGGGGCACATCCTTCCCTGGGGGCGGGGGGGGGCCACAGCCTCCTCTGCAGGGGGCACACGCCCCTCCCACCACACCGGTAAACAAGCTGCAAGAGAAGCAGCAAGTGTGGACAACACTTTCTATCTGCTGAATGTAAAAACCAAAGTCACAAGGGAGCAAACATGAGTCTTTAAGCAAACCTCACCTTCACTGCAGAGACTTCCCACTGGAAGGCAAGTCAGAGGTACCGCAGTGGGAGGGTGTTAACCCACATACATTACAGACAGAAACATTAAGAAGCCATCATGTCGGGCACCTGGGTGGCTCAGTTGGTTAAGCGACTGCCTTTGGCTCAGGTCATGATCCTGGAGTCCCAGGATCGAGTCCCGCATCGGGCTCCCTGCTCAGCGGGGAGTCTGCTTCTCCCTCTGACCCTCCTCCCTCTCATGCTCTCTGTCTCTCATTCTCTCTCTCGCAAATAAATAAATAAAATCTTTAAAAAAAAAAAAAAAGCCATCATGTCATCCACTCAACAAATACTAGGAGCCAAAACTACGGAAGAACAGAGAAGCCCTGGGGGGACTACCGCCAATGGGAGAATCCGTGCACTTCTGTGTGCGGTTCCATGGTTCTGTGGGATCTGTGTGTTTGGATTAAGAAGGCCCATGACAGGGGACGCAAATACGGGACTCTGAGGCCCAAGCGGGGGACAATGTGAGTCCTTGCACAGCTGCTCAGAACTGGGAAGCCTGAGGGCTCATTCCAGTAGAGGGAGGCTCCGCTCATTTCGCCTCATTACGCTAAGCTATCTCAACTGTCCATAGAACTGAAAATTATTCCATCAAACAGAGAAGCCAACAGTGTGTTTTGTACCTCATGGATACGAAGGGGCTGGGGGCACCGCTAAGTACCTCCATTGGGGTACCCTGCCAGCAATGGGGCAGGGTTCCAGGACCCCAACTGCAAGAGACCTGGATGGATCTCCTGGGTAAGAATGGGGGGGGGCACGGGATGGAGAATCCAGTGCACGAAACAGGGAGAAAGCAGACCCCGAGTATCCTTCTTCAGCTGGAAGGTGCCAGGACCCAGGGGTGTATGGAGGAAGGCCCCTGCCCTGAAGTGTGGCCCACAAATGACTCCAGAGCAGCCTCCAGGCCTGCATGAAGTTTCCCAGCAGAGAGTCAGCGTTTTCTTAGGGGCCACTAGTAGATAAGCGTTGGATCTGGAGGCAAGCAACAAGTGTGCTGGAGTGGAGGCAACCAGAGAGCATTCTTGAGCAGGACCTTTCGTCTTTCTGAGCTGCTGCGTCTCTTCATGAGATGGGAGGATTCTGGCCACTTCACCGGGTTTTATGACAAGTGGGATAAATGTGGTATGGCCCCAGCAATTAACAAATGTTATTCCCCATCCTTTTCTACCCACAAGGCAGAGTTTTAGAGGGAACCTAAAAGCCAGAGATAAAGACAAAAACCACTGTGGCGTGCCTGTGAGCAGTGTGGGCAGAGCATCTGAGCGGTCTGGGTGGCGCCCCGAGACCATGCAGATCAGAAAGCAGGTCTGCCACAGGGACACAGAAAGGCCCTGCTGAGGTACGAGGCCATGTGGCCGCCATCTTGGCAGCTGGAAGCCCCGGCCCTCTGGTCCATTCTCAGCCTCGAACCTCAAGGCACCTCATCCTGCAAGTATGCCTTTCCCCATCGAGAGACCCAAGACTAGGACGAGGCCCTCTACACGACTGGGCCCCAGCCCACAGAGAAGAGGCCGGGCGCTGTGCCCCACAGAGCCCCCAGGAGCCAACGTGCAGGACAGAGATAATCCACTGGCTCATGGCTCCCAAGCTCTACACTGACAGAGAGGCCTGCTTTCAACCACTTGACATAGTTTTAGTCTCCCCTGTAGACCTTCGTTTGAATAGAGACCCTGAGCTGAAGAACACTTTGAAACTACTCCCCAGGATTCACTCTTACCATGTGGTGCGCGAGTGAGCTTCCTCTTAATCTGGAGACACTATGAGCTCTCAGGCTCGCCTCAGGGGGAGGAAGAGGCAGAACCAGAGCAAGAGCAGCTGCAATAGTGAAAATAAGAAAAATAAGAGTACCATCTGGCTCCTAGGACATTAAGCCATTTAGAACTCAAGCACCGACCACTCCAGTGACAAACATTTTTTTGAGCACCACTGAGTGCCAAAGTTTAGGGGACGATGAAACAAAACAAAATCCCCGCTCCTCTAGTGGGGGACATAGGTAAGCAGACATCACAACACAGTAGGACAAAAAGAACCAGATATAAGAGGAGCTGGAAGCTTCTACAGTTAGGAACAGTTGAGTGTAGGAAATGAGGACGTGGGGAGAGGGTGGGGACCGGAGCTTTGAGGCTGGATAAAGGCAGGGACCCGATTACACGGTGGCATTTGCACTCAAGAGGGTCTGAACTACAGAGGGGTCATTTGAGCTAGCTATCAGAGAAAGCGTGAGATAGAGCCATTACGGACAGACAGGCAAAAGTGGGGGTGTCATGGGATGAGGGGCTGGATTGGGAGGGTTTTTCTAGGACAGGTTTCCACTGGGTTCTAAAGCATACCACTGACAGAGTTGGCAGGGGCTGGAGGGGCACGAGACCAGAAAGGCAGTAACCCCTCTAAGGCTGCGTTGGGTCGTCAACCGCCCCCGACCCCCCGCCCCAGGCCAGAGCCACACAGGGAGCTGAAGGCTTGGGGGCCGGACCGTAGGTACATTTTCCAGTGAGACCAACTTTTCTGTGTGGCACCGTCTGCCTCATCTGGCCATTGTGGAAAGCACACTCGACTACAAATCCTAAGTCCCGGCTTCCTCCAGGATGGGCTCCACCATTAACTACTGGGGGACCCAACATACAGAGGAGGCCTCGGAGGCCGCCGAGGTCAGAAACAGAACCTGCGTTTCTAGGCAGAAATGCCTGACTGCACCACCCTGGTTTCCCCTTGGACCCTTCCTTCCTTGAGGTCAACCTCCCTCAGAACTTAATGGTCATTGTCCAGGGATTATTTATGAAGAGGGCTTCCTTCTGCTTAGACAATTTTCTCTCTTTCCTCTTTCCCACCTTCTCCTGTCTGTCCCCCAGGAAAGGGGCAGTTACGACTCCTCTGGCCGTGGGCCGAGGTGGTGGGCCCGGGGTGACGGGAGGCCACACGCACAGGAGAAATGGGGCGCGGGCACCTCCCCCACTCTCGGTCTGTCAACACGCAGGTGCTTCCTCTCTTCACGCTGCAGAAACAAGCGCGACTATTTTTTCAACATTTTCATTTTAGTACCTGGTTGTGGGAAAAAGAAAAATCTCCACTGTCCTGCTATCTCTTAGAACTGCAGATGCCCCTCTTTGTGCTATTTCCCTCCCTTCCAAGTCCCCCCACACTCCCTACTTTAAGCACTTGATGTGAATTAGAGTTGCTTACTTGTTTTTACTACAATTCTCTAGAAACAGAAAACCAAAACAACAATGAAAGCAAGGAAAGGTGGGGGGGGAGGAGCGGGTGACTGAGACCCAGCAAGGTCACCGGAGGGCACAGGGCAGAGGGGACTGACTCCACCTGTGGAGACCACAAAGACTTTCCCTCAGACAAGGGGGAGGCGATTTGCATGAAGCAAAATCTTTAATCCCTCCTGACTGCTCCCCCATCCTAGCTCTTCCTCTAGAAGTGAAACTAAGTCCCATTCACAGTGTTAATGGCTGGAGGTCCCTCTCTCCGCCTCTCCCACATCCCTCTCCTGCCCATCCTTTCCCATCTCAGGAAAATGCCAAAAGCAATTTCCTGCCCTCCAGGTTGAAGTGACTTTCCTGAGGATTTGATGAGCCGCATTTCTCGCAGACCAACACTGAGGCAGACTCACTGCCCTGTATCCAGTGAACTTGTAGTGATTAGCAGTCGTGAGTCCTGAGTAGACCAGGTGTTTAAGGGGCACAGAATCCTGTCCCCCAGAAAGCTGGCGTCCGAAGCCAGAAGATGGACACGTGAAGGTCTGCAAAGCTCCAGCTCCCTATCTCTGAAATGGACACGATACTGCTGAACATGCCCATGTTGCAGGGACATCAGAAGACATGAAGTAAGGTCTATAAAACGAGGGCAGGAGGGGAGAACACGGCTCCCGCAAAAGGGTAGGGAAGGCCGTCTAGTGACAGATTTTAACCTAGACATTTGAAAAATACACCAGCAGGCCACCCAGATGGTCCATTTATAACACAGTTAAATTCAGAAGCAACTTTTTGGGTTTTTTTAATAGTTGGAAGAAAGCAGTTCTTTTTGGACCTTTTTCTTTTTTATTCCTTGAGTGGGAAGAAAAATCAAGTAGAATTCAATAAAATGAACTGAAAATAAACCCCATATCCTCATTTTCTCTTTCTGAGGGGTGAAATGCTGGGTCTGAGTTAGGCCTGATGGAAAGAGAAGTCCCTATAATCACTAAGAGCAGATCATCTGGCCCCAAATAATACTGGCTACCTCTTACGGAAATTTAAACGTGATTTCAACATCCTCTTTAGCATGACATGGGTGCAAGTTGACATGAACAGCCAAATATTCTCACTGCACACTCATTAGGTTAGCACTCTGTTATAATCGCAAGCATGTAATTGTTAAATTTAAAAGGAGGTAGGGTGAAGCTTTTTCTTTCTGGAAAGGAAAGCACAGGTCATGATCAGGTTTTCTCAACTGCATTACTAGCTTCTAAAATTCTGTTTAACCGCTGACCTTTGCATCACGAGCACCTGTGATGGAAACCTACTTGGGTGCCTGACTGACCTCAAGGCGAATTCTTTCAGTAACCGCATGAGAGACTCTGTCCCTGGCAAAAGTGGGATCCAAGGCCACTAAAAACGAATGCAAAAGCCTCCCCCTGAAATTGCTTTTAACAGTTGTTTTCTCCCAAGAGACCAACCAGAGTACAGAAGATGCACTGGCACTGGGCGATGGTCGTCATCTGCTCCACTGGGTACTCCCCGAGACAGAGCTTGCACGACACCAGCGGATCGAGGGCCAGGTCCCACGTGGGCCGGTACCGCGCTGTGGTCATGGCAGAACAGTCTGAAACGAGAGAAGTGCAGGCCATCAGACCCCCCATGCAAACTCACCGGGAGAACCCAAGCGGGGATCACTTCCGGCTGCAGCGGGGGGCCCTGGGAAGGGGCCCACGGTTCTAGACAACACATTTGGGTCCTCTGAGTTGTAACCAGGGGTTCCTGACTTGGGTCTGTGGGTGACCCCTTTCCCATGCTGGTGGTAATGATCGTGTCTACCCTCAAAATGACAAACGACCCGTCCCATCCCTCCATCCTTCCTCTGGGCATTGAGTAAGACCCCTTCCACCAACCAAGCACCTAGACTAGGAGGGCAAACCTTAGCAAGCATGAAAAAGAAGTTTTTGTTAAAACAGTCTGAATAGATGAAACAGTTCTCCGGTTTCTGTTGCAGGAACATCCCAGGGGAAGCAGTGGGTGAAGCCCCCCTCCTCATCCTCAGTGCCCTCCGAATGGAAGGCACCTGTCCTCACTGGCTTCTAGCCACACCGCTCAGGTGTTACCTTACCCTCCAGAATCAGCCCAACACCACTGCCTCCTTACGCACTGGCAGATTTCCTAACACGTAAGCTTTAGGGGGGCAAGGGCCTGAGGGCAGACTTGTTCACATACGTGGGCCACGTTCATCTAACAGTGCCTGGAGTCGACCAGACACTCCACACACACAAATAAAAGCCACTTTCACTTCCTCATCCTCCTGAAACACTCCCTGAACTGCCCACAGCCTGCTTCCTGATAGCTCGGATTTTTCTATTTGTATTTATCATGCTGATTTCCACTGCTTGCTGCTTGGGGAAGGCAGGGCAGGTGTACGCCTCTGGTTCATAGCTCAGCACCTGACCCACGGTGGCCTCTCCACAACCACCTGTCGAGTGAATGAACAAATCCTTGCCTCGGGATATGCATTCTCACCCTGAACTCCTGGTACCCGACTAAAGCCCATGAGAGTTATTGTGCACCTGCAATCGGTAAGCATGCCCCTTGCTCCCCAAACTCAGAACTGAGTCAGATTCTGCTAAAATTTCAGAGCCAGTCCCTGGCCATCTGAATGCTGAGAGGGAGCTCCTGCTATCTGGCTCTCAGGATCCAAACAGATTTAGACAACCTGGGGTCCTTCTCTGTCCGACCCCACCTTCAAAGTGAGGGACAAATGCTGTGGATAGCAAGAGACCCCCGCATTCCCTGCTAGCTGGCGAGGCCATGACAGCAGGATTTGACTCGTCCAGCTCATACTTACAGCAAAGGCATGTATACGTTACAACGAAGATATAACACATGAAGGAAAAACAAATCAGAACACCAACCAACGAGCGGAAGGCACACAAAATGATTCTAGCATCTTGGACAGATTCAGAGGAGATCACAATTCCCCGCCGTCGGGTCTTCAGATTCAATTCAGGAACACTCTTCGCCAAATAAAAAACTAACTGATAATATAAGGCAGGATACGGTTTATGTGAAAAATCAGTGCTCCAGGTACGTGGTAAAGATGGGAGTAAATCTGGGTAGAATCTTCAAAATAGAAGAGCTTCATGAGGAAGACGAGGCTTGAGTGTGGAAGGGAGGTGACATCTCACGCGGGTAAAAGAGAGCGGCTATCAAAACAGGAGAGAAGAAATGCTAACATCTCTCACCAGACAGAGAAGCAAAAGGGACTCTGCTCTGAGACCAACAGGACGCCCAGAACCAGGACACAGCAGCTTCGTGCCCACCACCGGCCTTGGTGTGCTCGTGCATGCGATGGGGCTGGTAACCCCGTCCCCCAGGGTTGCCGTGAGGACCCGGCACATACAGGAAATGCTCAGGAAAGACCCCCAACCCCCTCCCCTGCAAGGTTTCATTCAGCCATCCTTTTATGGATCTGCGAGAAAGACTCCGAGGTGTCAGACATTTCCATCATCTGTACAAGTTACCTCTAGGGACAAGGAGCTGTCGTGAGAATTTCTGAAGATGTATTTCTATCCCTTTCTCAGGTTTTGTCAGTCGTGGCTCACTGGGTATCACTAAGCCAGTGTTCAGGTAGGACTCAGCTCTGTGGACTCTATGCTGGGCGTCCAGGGTCGGGGAGAAGCTACTGCACCATCTTGAACACAGTCCGAGGAGATAAGACACAGTGAAAAAAAAACAAAGGAACATCAGTGGTGTGAACTAACGTAAGCAGGGGAGAGCCTGACCTTGAAGAGCCCCAGCAAATGAGGGCAGCTACTGAAGGCCGGCTGGAATCCACACCGGGAGTAAGAACGGAGATCAGCATTCAGGGCAGGAAAGGGACGGTGCTCAGGATGACCCAGGACTCCTCCCAGGACAGCTAATAACCAGGAACACCTTAGTCTAAACAAAGGGTATTTTCTGTTGTTAGAAAAGAACTCTTTGACACAAATTCAAATAACTGTTGGATTGGTTGGCACCTTCCAAATAATTTAAACAAGCTTCATAATTTGACCCGCCACCAGTGGGGCCAACAGTCGGATGATCTGGGGTCACTCAGCTATTTGGGGGTGCAGAGGGAACCAGAGTCAAGATGTGCACTCCCCTGAGTTCATTTTCATTTGGAACATTCCTCCACACTTTGAACCTAAACATGTTATTTTTATTATTTATTAGTATTATTATTTTAGATGTCCACAAACATTTTCTAGATCCTGGGCTCCTGAGTCAGGGTGTTCGTTTTGTTTTGTTTTGTCTTCCTTTATATTCCCCTACATCTTTTTTTGTTTGACTCCCTAATGATTTTTTTTTTTCAAGTAACACTGCTTAAAGCTCACTGTCCAGAGTGACGATTAGGTTTTGACTATGAATGCTAGCTAGCCCTAAAAGGGATCAAAACCTGTACGAGAAGCATGGCAGGCCCGGGGCAGAGGCTGCTGACTGGTGTGTCCCTCCCAGAGAGTGGGGGTAGGTGGCTGTGAGTTGTGGCCCAGGTTCGGATCCTGGAGGGCACCTTGTTTGAACCCTTGTTCTGCCACTTGGTCCTTGACTTTGGAGAAACTACATAACCTCTACGAACTTCAGTGTTTTTACTTCTTAAAATTAAACACCATAACCTCCCACAAACACTTGTGAAGAGTGATAATAAATATATTTAAGATTCCTGGGACTTTTAACCTGCCTGGTAGCTGGAAGTCACTATTTTATGTCAGGTTCAAGACCCTGGACATGAACCCATATGGTCTAACGGGAGAGACAAGCTGCTGAGCAGAGAAACTAGAGGATAAACTCAGTCTTTCAGGAAGTCCCCCATGATGGCAGTAATCTCTGGAAGAAGGAAACCAAAACCAAAGCCTCCTGCTTTTTTTTTTTTTAAAGACTTATTTGTTTTATTTATTTATTTATTTTTAAAGATTTTATTTATTTGACAGAGAAAGAGAACACAAGCAGGAGGAGTGGGAGAGGGAGAAGCAGGCTTCCAGCTGAGCAGGGAGCCCGATGCGGGGCTTGATCCCAGAAGCCTGGGATCATGACCTGAGCCGAAGGCAGACGCTTAATGACTGAGCCACCCAGGCGCCCCAAGACTTACTTGTTTTAGAGAGAGAGAGAGAGAGAAAGCACACGCATGAGGGGCAGAGGGACAAGGAGAGAAGATATCAAGCAGGCTGCATGCTGAGCAAGGAGCCCGACATGGGGCTCGGTCTCACAACTCTGAGATCAAGACCTGAGCCGAAACTAAGAGTCAGTTGCCTAACAAACTGAGCCCCCCACGTGCCCCCGAAGCCTCCTGCTTTATTGTCCACCGTCAGTGCGGTCCAAGATTGGACAGCACCCCAGAATGCATGGCAGAACGGCAGACATCTAGGGACGAACCCTTCAACAGTCCTCGCAGCCCCAACTGCACATCCTGGGCAGACCGTGCATCACGTGAGCGCTCGCCCGCCCCAGAAACCGCTTCTGCCTCCCCACTGGACTTGTCCTCTCCCAGACTCTCCTCACTCTTCCCAGCCTCTGGGTTTGGCTCTGTTTCCTGTTTACAGCGTCTCTGAAGACGTGACCCTTCACACAAACTGCAGGCTTGACCTCCTGCTTCCTTTCTTCCTGGACCATGATTTCCATTTGACCTCGAAACAGTGTGGCTGCCCGCTACCCTGGGCACATGTCAGCCGTGGCCCCTCACTTCCCTCTCCGTGAACTACTCTCGAAGCAGGTCCAATTCCGACTTCCTGGCACCACATCAGTATTCTTTCCCCTCGAGATTAGATACTCCGAGCTGCCCCAAATCAGGATTTAAATGTAGACAACAACAGGACTTACTTTCAAAAAAAAAAAACGACACTGTTTAAGCCCGCTATGGGCCTCCCCTGCACACAGGATGGGCTGAATACGATTTTACCAACACTGAACAGCTGCAAACTTGAAATGGGAATTTGCTAAGAAAATCACAATGCACAATAATAGAAAAAACAGTCTTTGTTTTCCTAATGGAAAGGTCAAGTCATATGAGCCAACTATTTTAAGAACATCTGGTCAATTATAAGCATTACTCAATATAAGTAATTCAAAATGTTTCTGAGGGAAGTGACTTGTTATGCGCCGCTGGGTCATGCAGAGTGGGCCCCGTGGTGTAAGATGCATGGACTCAGGAGGAGAAAGGCTGGAAGGGAAGGCCGACCGCATGTTAACACAGGCAAATCCCGGTGATGGGCCAGGGCCGTCCCAACCCTGTGCTCGGGGCTGTGCATGTCTGGGGGTCCCTATCCTCCCCGCCTTCACCCCTGCAAAAACACCAAAGGAAGGCAGGGTAGCTGACGGCCAGTCACTGCCCACTTGTCCCTCTCCTGATGACTCGCCTAAACTGGCTGAGTCTCGCCCCTGTTTCCTCCCATCTGCACCCCTTCCCAGCCCCCACCACACACCTGAATCTGCCCAGCCCTCCACGCCCACCATCAGCCCCTGGTGTTGTTAGCTCTGAGCTCTCCCTCAGCTCTCTCATCCCCTCAACTGTCCCCCCTTTCTCGGAGTCTCCGCTGCCTGTAGTCGATTGGTTCTGAACACGCGCTCCCCAAAACATCAGCATCAGCACTGCCCGAGAACTTGCTGGTAATGCAACTCCTTGGGCCCCAACCCAGACCTACAAAATCACTCGTGGGGGTGGGGGTGGGGCTGGGGGGAGCAGGGAGAGACACAGCAATCTACGTCTCCACGAGCCTTCCCGGGGATTCTCATCCACAGTGAAGTCTGAGAGCCATGGTCCACGCCACTCCGCCTCCTGCACTCCCCCCAAGGTCCACCGGCCCCAAAGCCCACGTGGGCTGAGGCCCGACAAAGGCATCGGCCCTCAAAGCACCACAACGGAGCATCCATGTCTGCCAGGCACCAGGCTAGACTCTGCATATTGACTTTCATTTAATCTCTTTTATTTCTTTCTCTGGGTGAGCATGGCTTTCCAAGTCTGCTATACGTGTTAGCTTATCTCCCCAACTTGATACTATATTATTCAAGGCGAAGTGCTATTTCCTGTCCTCTCAACAGTGCTAGTCACAGGCAGATCTTCCTATGATACATACACACACATACATATATATGTGTCTGTTTGTCTGTATGTATATATATACACACCTTGATTGCTTCACGTGCAACACGCATTGCTAATCACTTTCATGCATTATTTCATTTATCCCCACGGTGACTTTGAGACTTTAATGGTTTGCCATTATTCCAATTTTACAAATGAGGAAACCAAGGCACAGAGACTGGGTAACCTGTTCAAGCAGGCACAGCCACTGACCAGCAGTGTGCAGACACGAAGGCATGGGCAGTGAGCCACCCTGCTAGAGCTCCTTCATGTCTCCTTCTGGGAGACAGGAGAATGGGGCCTCCCCGCTCTGCAAAGATGTGAGAGAAAGGAGTTTCGGTTCGGCCTCTGAGCTTCCTGGGCCTTACTCATGTCGGCAGTGACGGGGAAAGCTGCGGCCTCACAATTTAGGGCTGCCGGTGGCAGCAGAAACACGAGAATGGTAGCTGAGGAGAAAGTTAACTGTAGAGACGCCGACGTGCCCAAGCGCATGGCTTCATGATCCGTCTGGAAGACCCACGGATGCTACCTCCTCCAAAGGAGAGGACCCCAGCTCGAGGGCAAAAGCTCATGATTTCCAGCAACTGGGCTGCCAGGAATTTACACGATTAACCTGGAAACTCGCATTCCCAGGAGAACCTGCACACGGATGTGTACAGCAGCTTCATTCAGAGATGCCAACACTTGGAAGCACCCAAGATGTCCTTCAATGGGTGAATGAAATACACCAGTTTACTTAACTGGTGGGATGCCCAGACAATAAACTGTTATTCAGAGCCAGAAAGAAATGAGGCAGGAAGCCATGAAGAGACACGGGGGAAACGTTAATGCATATTCCTGACGGAAAGAAGCCGATTTGAAGAGGCTGCATACTGTGTGATTCAAACTACAGGACATTCGGGAACATGCAAAATTAGGGAGACCAGTGATTGCTGGGGCAGGGAGGGGGAAGGGGATAGAGAGCCAAGCTACAGGGGATTTTTTTTAGGACAGTGAAACTATTCAGAACAATACTGCAATGAATGAATACATGTCATCATACATTTGCCAAAACCCACATGACGTATAACAACAAGAGTGAGCCCTACTGTACATGTCATGGACAGAACTGTGTCCCTCCTCCCCAAATCCCGATGTTGTAGCCCTAACCCTCAATGTGACTCTCTGTCTTTAGGAGGTCATTAAGGTGGCATGAGGTCATACAGGGTGGGGCTTACCGGAGAGGACCATCTGGTCTCTCCCTCCCCGAACTCTTATCTGCGTGTGAGGACACAGGGAGGAGACAGCCCTCAGGAGCCAGATGGGGGCTCTCTCCAGAACCTGACCACGCGGGCACCTGATTGCAGACTTCCAGCCTCCAAACTGGGGGAAAGAAACTCCTGCTGTTTAGACCCCACCCCCACCCCAGTCCTCCCTTCTACATACGGTGTTTTGTGATGGCAGCCTGAGCTGACAAGGTAAACGACAGTCTTCAGGTGATTCTCATGTGTCAGTGCATGTTCGTCCTTGGAACAGATGCCCTCTCTGGGGCAGGATGTCAACAGTGAAGGGAAAGGAGGTTGTGCATGTGTGGGGGC